CCCCAGTGTAGGAGTTCTAGATCGGAGCACAGGGGCCCTGCCTTTCGGCTGGTGGTTGAAGCTCTCGTGCTGGCAGAGAGCAGGAAATCTCGTCAGGAAGAGAGGAGGGGCGGGGTTCAACGCAACAGGAAACAGGAAGTCCTTCCTTTCACCCATTCAACCAATGGCGGCCCCCAACTTCCTCCTCCCCTCACCACGAGGCAGGGGGGCAAAATGGGCTCTTAAAACAGACATAGAAAGAGGAGACCAGGAAACAAAGAGATTCTCTCGCAGACATCCTGGAGCTGCAGGGCCTGAGGTCATGATAGGGGCCCTGGCCATCCTTCAGCGGGACTTCTAGATGTGCTCCAAGAACGGTCAATGCCTCCAGAGGTGATGGAGTTACAGAGACTCCTGGGAGACCTGCCAGAGTGCGAGTAGCACAGGGAGAAACGGGCGAACTCCCAGCCTGAAGCGGGCGTCGCACTCAGACAGCCTCAGGGAACCACATCTCTTCAGTCTTTGGAGCCAAAGAGACGAAGACGTGAGAGCGTTCAGCCTGCAGGCCTGGAGGCCCTGGGGGCTGATGGGACAGGTGGGGGTGGCCTTAGAATATCCAGATGAGATCCAGTACAACCTCCCCAACTCTGCCATTGGGAGAGAGAACGGGAGAGAGATCAGGAAAGACATCGGGGGAGAGACACTGGGAGAGAGATTGAGAGAGAGAATGGGAGAGATCAGGGGAGAAAACAGGAGAGACATTGGAAGAGACATCGGGGGAGAGATCAGGAGAGACACGGGGAGAGAGATTGAGAGAGAGAATGGGAGAGATCAGGAGAGGGATTGGGAGAGAGAACAGGAAAGACATTGGAAGAGACATCGGGAAAGAGATCGGGAGAGACATCGGGGGAGAGACATTGGAAGAGAGAGAACAAGAGAGAGGTCGTGAGAGAGTTCAGGGAGAGATTTTGGGAGAGATTGGGGGAGGATCATCAGGGGAGAGACATCAGGGGAGACACTGGGAGAGAGATTAGGAGAGAGATCAGGAAAGACATTGGGAGAGAGAGAACAGGAGAGAGATTGTGAGAGAGTTTGGGGAGAGATCGGTGGAGAGATCAGGGGAGAGATCAGGGGAGAGATAAGGGGAGAGATCAGGGAAGAGATCGGGGAAGAGATCGGGGAAGAGATCGGGGAAGAGATCGGGGGAGAGATCAGGGAAGAGATATTGGGAGAGATATTGGGAGAGAGAACGAACAGAGGAGCAGGACTGGGAAGCCTGGAGCTCCTCACTCCAGTGGCAAAACCCCTGTGATCCCTGGTGAATCTGGCAGGGATGTCCGGAGCAGGGATAACTCACACGTGCCGGAGTCATAGACAACCGGGATGCAAATTCCATAAAAGACTGAGAGACGGATCAAGGTTTGGAGTCCGGAAGGACTCCCGCCTGAATCCAGGAGGGATTTTAGAGGAGATGCCGGAGCATCAGCAACAAATGGCAACGTCTCTCGAACAGAGAGGAGGGGAGGCTTTGTACCCGGACCGAAACACAGCAGGGCACAGGGACAGATAAATCGTACTGAACGGCCAATCGAGTGTTTCAGTCACAGCAGATCTGTCGTCACCCGCTGGGCCCACAGGACGAGGAGTGAGGAGTGACCAGGGGGCAGTTGCAGAGGTGCATATGGGGGCAGAAAGACATGTGCGAGGGAGAGAAGGCAAAGAAGTGTAGTATTTCTCACTTCTTAGGTGAGAAAATGAGCCCCGAAACAAAATTACCTGCAGCTGAGGCCGACTGAGGCCGGCTGTGCCCGGCTGTGCCCAGCTGCTGTCATTCCTCCCAAATGTCCGTCAGCAACTTTATATCAATGGATCATCACACACAGAAAGAGGCACACAGGCCTCTATATCCCACTGGAGCGCTCAGCTGCAGCCGGCTGGCATGAGTGAGCGTTCAGTAAACTCAGAGGAGGCATCACTGCCACGCCAGTGCAGTTCGACACACAGGACCTACTAACTCAGACGGCGAGCCGCTGCATTTCTGATACGGGGGGGGGCTTCATGACCACTGCTGTATATGACCTGCCTCTTTGTGTGCATGGCTCCATGAACCATCGCCTCTCCTCTTCAGTTGAGGGGGGCTGGGAAGGGATGAGAAGACCATGTGCAACTGCAGACGGGAGGTAGCTCCTATATTTTCAGAAGCAGCACACTCCTCCCCCCTCCCCCCCCCCTGCCTGTTCAGTAATGGTATGGCCCACCTGCCAAGTTCTCCAGGCTGCCTCATTAGGGAGTGTAGTAACGGAGGCTGGGTTGCTTAGCAACAGCCTTAGCGATGGTTCTAGGCTGGATGGATGGGCAGAGGCTGATGGAAGGAGAGAGAATCAGTCCAACACACACACACACTCAAGCCCACAGACATGCACACGCACAGACATACACAAGTGCACAGATACACAAATGCAAGCACCGATGCACTTACAGACATGGTAACACACAATGACACAGAAACACAAATTCCAATACACCTCTCTCTCAGTCTACACAGCCTCGCGTATACAGAGAGCATAATGTCCAGAGCACAAAAGAGAAGGAAGAGGTATCACAGAGCAGCCTTCCAGAAATATGCAGGATTCCTTCTCTGCAGGGGGCGCTATAATCGATTTCCAATTCACCCCATCCCACCTCACCCGTTTCCAAAGCTGTGGCCCTTCGATAAAGGGTCAGACAGCCTTGTCAACCACTGCTCCTCACCCTGCCCCCTACAGGAAAGACAGAGAACAACCCATTGTGTGCACTCTGTGAGACATCTGCCTCCCGTCACACTGACACAGACACACACTGACACAGAGAGGTGCACACACACTGACTCACAGACACACACTGACACAGAGAGGTGCACACACACTGACTCACAGACACACACTGACGCAGACACACACTGACACTGATATCCACACTAACACAGTGACATGGGTATCAACACACACTGACACAGAGACCAACACAGACACAGAGACACACACACTCACACGCAGATACATGCATACACTCACAAATAGATACACACACACACTGACACAGGGACAAACACTCACACACAGATACATGCATACACTGACAAGTATGACAAATAAATACACACTGACACAGATATATACATGATCACAGTGACACAGACTGACATGGACACTGTACATGTACACAAAGATTCAAACACACACTGATACACAGATACCATGCATACACACACATAGATGCATGCACACACACTGACACACATTCACACACACTGACACACTGATACCATGCACACACACACAGATTCACAGACACTGACACACTGATACCATGCACACATACACAGATTCACACACACACTGACACCATGCACACACAGAATTCACACACACTGACACACAGATACTGTACATGCACACACACTGCCGATCACTGGACCCTCAGTTGGAGCAGGAGGGACCCAGAGACACGATCTGCCCCAGCCCGTCAGGGATACTGATGCCCCGGAGCGAGAAAGCAGCCGGTCAGGCCGGGCCGGAGGCGAGGGGCACTCCAGCACAGCGTCGCCTTTTTAATCGGTGATGAAATAGCGGCGTATTTACGGGACTGCAGGACTGGGACACCCTGGCAGAAAATAATACACACCCACCCGAAAATAACCACCTGCCCAATTGCTCTCCTTATAATGAGCGCGATCCGGACACAGTCGGACTTTCCAATCCAGCCGGACGCCCACTCGTGAGCAGCAACTGACAGGTCTGCCCACGGAGACCGCGGCAGCACCCGTATCGATCCGCGAGTGACTGCGCTCCTCTCGTCATCTCGCTGCCCGGCGCCCGGCGTCTCTTACCTGATCCGCGCCCGTGCCTCTCTCCCTCTCTCACACACAGGGGGCCTTTCCCGGGACCGTCCACCCCAGGACAAGAGTGACCGATTCCCCCCCTCCTTCTCCTCCTCCCCGTCTCCTCTGGAGCGGGACCGGAAAAAAAAAACACCCACCGCGTCACCTGCCTCCGGCGCCGCAGGGGTTAAGTGTTCGCGGCTCCCCCTCTGCTCCACACCGCCCCCCTCTTCCCTTTTCCTCCTTGTCCGCCTCCTCTCGGAGTCTGCCAGGACACGCCCACCACGACCGCATTGTTCCAGACTGACAGGGGGAATTGTCCAATCAGAGGCAGAGATGACCACTGAGGGGACGGAATGCGGCTATCGACGTAGAATGTGCCAATGAACCACGCGATGATAAACCAAACTTACTCTGAGCCCATCATGGGGCTACAGTCCCAGTACAGGAGAACAGTCCTGTCACAATAGGAGCTACAGTCCCAGTACAGGAG